GTTGGGTTCGGAAAAAAAAAAAAACTACGGGCTTGGGCCGGATTTTTTATTCGCAGTGCAACTGTAGTGAAGTCGGTCTGTTGGCAGGTTATCTGTTGATTCATACTGAAGGTTTGAAGTCCTTTGACACATATCAGCCACACAAATTATAAATAAGCAAGATGTTCAGAGGCAACGTGGTGGTCTGGTAAAGGTGCTGATCCACAGTAGGTAGTTACAGAAAGTTTCCGGTAAATTATAATAATAATAAAAAAAAACATTTTAATGTCAGTGGAAAGTACTGAACCGAACCAAGACTTCAGATAGGCCGAACAATTTCAATGTAATTTCAGGTGTTACACTTGTTTGATTTTTGTATCATATTTTAAAATGTATATTTTTGGGAATGACTTGACAGTTGAAGTGGATACTTTGAACTGTATCGCAAAAAAAAAACGTGCATGTAGGATCTCATACCAATGAATCACTCCGCTTGCAGGCTGTGATCCGTGGGCAGGAGCAGTCCAGATGGCTTCGCGCTTTTCTGAATGCCAAGCGGAGACGGGTTGTGAACCCATACCTGGAAGATGACCAGCAGCTGGACCAAGTCTACTGTTACCTAAACGAGCTCTACGCAACCACTGTGGCTAAGTCCCCTTGTCTAGCTGAGGTGAAACAAATGGATCAAGTCCCTTTTGTTCTGGATGTCCTTCTACCTGAGGTGAACAGAAAACGAGCGTTATTTTGTATTTGCCCACATGTTGCTTACCTTTTTGTTTAATGTAAGTTTGTACTTTGATGCAGGCTATCATCTACGCTATTGCTGGGGTGGACAATGTTTCAGTAAAAAAGGCAGAAGAAAAGTACCTTAAAGGACGATGCATCAGTAACCGGTAATGACTTCATTAAGTTAAACCTTTTTTAGGTTGTGTGATATTTTAAGGGAGAATTGATATTTGATAAGATTTGTAACTATTTTTGTTTTTCTCTTTCAGAGAAAGGCAAGAGTTTGATTTGATGATTGAACAACAAATGAAGAGGAAACAAAGTCAGAATACAGCGCTGGAGTTGTACTCAAACCCAGTCATTTAGTACTTTTTTCATTATTTTGTGTGTGTATTTTTTGTGTTTTATATTATTTTTTATGAGTAAAGTCTCATCGCCTGTGTGCTTCACTAAAAAGACAAACCATAAAGAGTCTTTTATTTTGTTTTGAATTTTTGCCAACATTGGTATAAGATGCTGTGAAATGAAACCTAAGCTTTTAAAATATAACGCGTATCATGAAAGAACGCAGAGTTTTACAGACTTGAAGAGGGAACTTGTCAAGCAGCCGCCACCTCGTAGTTCTTCATTTCTCCAACAGGATTTATAATTTTCTGCCTGATGGTGTTTGTGTTCTGCAGACCTAAAACAGTACTATTGATCTTTTATGGCATACTGGAGACCCATTCAGTTGTAGATATGTTTTTGTTTTTGTTTTTTTAAGTGCTTTTTTACAACACAGATAAAATATGTGCTCAAGTAAAACTCACCTTTTGCATCTTTAAGTGTAACGAGAAACATGTCCGTGATTATAACTATATACAGTATGTTAAAAAAAAAAAAAAAAAAGTGGACATAGTTATGTGAATAACTAATAAATTTTTTAATATGTTTTATATTCAAAGGCAGACTGATCTTTTGGCTTTTTCCTCTTCAGGGGTCACCACAGCGAGTCATCCTCCATCTCACTCTGTCCTCACTCCAACTACCTCCATGTCCTCTCTAACTGCATCCATACTTCTCCTCTTTGTATTTCCCTGTAAGCTGCATTTCTAACATCCTTCTACTCAGGGCTTAATTTGTAAACCAAATGATGCCGGAATGCAAATAGCATGGGTGTGGGGTCTGGATCTGAACAGCGGCTACTGGCTATTCCCCCAGAGAAGTGTGAATAAAATAATTTCCTCCATTCTGGTGTATTTTACAAAGGTTTATTACAGTAGATTAACATGAAACAAAAGCTGTAAACTCAATTATTATTGAAATCTTTAGGACTGCAAAGCGTTCGTAATGCAGATTGACTTCTGCAACTCCCTTCTTTATGGCCTCCCCAACAAATCTCTTCAGAAGCTACAGATGGTCCAGAACGCAGCTGCACGTGTCCTCACTCAAACCTCCTATAATCACTTCACTCCTGCAAAACTGCAGCTGCTCTGCAGGTAAGGGGTGTTCACTTCAGGACACATTGAGGCCTCCTATTGGTCAGTTGCTGACGTACCTACTGGACAGGTGGCATGACTTGTGCAAAAAAAAATTGTAGCTTTTACTGTCCTGTTTAAGACTGTTGTCATTTATTCAATATTTTGGTGAATCTAAGGTTTGAGAACTGTTTCTTTACAAAATCCTAATGATTGTTTCAGAGGTGCTGAGTTAAAATTTAGGTGCCCGCCCACAAAAAGAGGCTAAAATCACCACTGAAGCCAATTCATATTAATAATTTACTTTTAAACTCTTTGTGTGATTTAGTGCAGGATCATTTCTTACCTTTCTAGTTGTTTAGTATATCCCATACCGCGGTCATGTGCGCACCATGCACCTCCTCAGTCTTCTCTTTGCACCGTGGGACAACAAGTGCTGTAAGTTTTTGGCCACACTTAGAAAAAACGAATATTTAGCGCTTTATCACTGGCTTAGAAAAGATTTGCTCTCAATCCCGCTCTTGCTCAAATCAAAAAAGCGTCCTGGTCGCTCCGACATCACTTCAAATACTCTGACTGCATGACAAACAGCTTTATGAGCTGAGATAATCTTTTTTTTTTTGCAGTTGAAGTGAAAGTTTATATAACTCCTGCAGTGAAAATGACAGGAACTTATGCGTAGTGCAAAATGCTTAATTATATTTTTGTGTTTTTAATAAAATTGTCCATAGCTTTGAACTTTTAGGGGCAGAGATTTTTTTTTAAGTGTAGAAGCAGAAATACAAGCGATAGCTCTGATGTGATATTAGGAAGCTTGTTATGTTTAAAATGAGTGTTTATGTAATTATTTTCAGTTTATATACCCAATATAGTTTTTATTAATTCAACACTGTCAAATTTGTTAATAAATTTAATATTATTAGGCCTGAGAGCTACCAGATTCAAGTAAACCATTACCGGAACGCACCCTGTCAAAATAAGAGAGTTCCCGGATATTGTTCCGGCAGGATCCAGCTCAAATTAAGCCCTGCTTCTACCAATAACTGTCCCTCCTCTGGACATATCCAAACCATCTCAGTCTGGATCCTCTAACTTTATCTCCCAGTTCAACTTGTGATGTACCTCTGATGATCTCATTCCTAATCGTATCCATCCTTGTCACTCCTAAGGAGAACCTCAACATCTTCATTTCTGCCACTTCCAGTTCTTTCTCCTGTATTTTTGTCAATGCCACTGTCTCCAGACCATACAACATGCTCTCACCACTGTCTTAACTTTTCCTTTGACCTTTGCTGACACTCTTGTCGCAAATCACTCCTGAAACTTTTTCTCCATCTACTCCATCCTGCCTGGACTCTCTTCTTCACCTCTTTACCACACTCCCCATTTTCCAGAACAGTGGACCCCAAGTACTTAAAGTCCTGCACCTTTATGACCTCTGCTCCTTGTAGCCTCACTGTTCCACCGGCCTCCTTCTCATTCACACACATGTACTCTGTCTTACTACGGCTGACTTTCATTCCTCTTCTTTCAAGTGCAAACTTCCACCTCTTCAAGTTCTCTTCCACCTGTTTCTCACCACAGATCACAATGTCATCTACAAACATCATGCCTGACCTCATCTGTTAGTCGGTCAAACTCCAGAGCAAACAAGAAGGGGCTCAGAGCAGATCCTTGATGCACTCCCACCAACACCTTGAAGCTATCTGTCACTCCTACAGCACATCTCACCACTGTCCTGCTGTCCTCATACATGTCCTGTACCAGTCTAACATACTTCTCTGCCACTCCAGATTTCCTCATACAATACCACACCTCCTCCCTCAGCACCCTGTCGCCTTATCTAAATGGTAAATGGACTGTACTTATATAGCGCTTTTCTATCTTAAGTTAAGATACTCAAAGCGTTTTACACTACAATCTGTGCCCTCATTTACCCATTCATACAGCACTCTACTATATCTATACAAAGGATAATCAGAGCTTTATCACATTCATACACCGATGGGACACACATCGGAGCCAATGAAGGGTTCAGTGTCTTGCCCAGGGACACTTCGGCATGTGACTGCTGGTGGAATCGAACCCCCAACTCTTGCATTGGAGGACGACTGCTCTACTCAGCCACAGCTGCCCACATCCACCAAAACACAATGGAGTTCTTTCTAACCCTCTGTACTTCTCCATCAGCATTCTCAAAGCAGAGATGGCGTCTGGTGCTCTTGGCATGAAACCATACTGCTGCTCACAGTCACCTCTCATCGAAGTCTTGCTCCAGATGATGCACTAATCTTCCTACATGTATATCTGTCACTGTAGTAGCCCGGTCATTTGGAAGCTCTTTCTTACCCCCAGAGCCTTTAACAACTCCTCTCAGAACTCCACAACATTCTTCTTTCCTCAGCTTCCACCATTTGGTCTTATTCTCTGATTTTACTCTTTTTTTTTTTCTCTCACTCTTCTTCACAACAAAAGTCAATCTACACACAACCATCCCATGCTGTCTCGCCACGCTCTCCCCTGCCACAACCTTACAGTCTCCCTCAGGTTTCGGATGGAAGATGTGAAAAGTCACATGTTTTTCATTTATTAATGTCAAATGTATATGAACCATGTGTGTGTTAAGAGTTGTTTTGTCTGGGCAGAGTGATGCTGAAGCATGGAGCCTTTCACCTGAGAAACTCAAGGCCCTAAGCTGGCGAGCAGGTCTGACCTCACCTCTGTCTGAGATGAAGACACTTCTTTATGAGCCGACTTGGAGGCGAAGCACCATGTAAACATCTTGATGCTTGTTATTTCAACTCTGTTCCATCTTGCAAGATTAAAGATAAATATCTACTTGTTCCTGTGTGGCATATTTATTTAATGAGCTATTATCAGGATAATTAAATTATCCTACCAGTTTCTACGTAGTCTACCTGCGTACTCCTACTCTTATAGGTCGCTCCATGGAGGCGGCTGTGGCTGAGTGGTTAGAGCAGTTGTCCTACAATGAAAGAGTTGGGGGTTCGAATCCACCAGCAGTCACATGCCGAAGTGTCCCTGGGCAAGACAGGAGCTCCACTTCAGAGAAAGCTCATTTTGGCTGCTTGTGTTTTTAAATCTCAAACCTACAGCCAACATGCCATGATTAAACTGGGGAATGGAACATAAACTTGTAAATAACTATTAATAAGCAGTCACTGTTTATTAGGTTCAAAGGACAATGGTGATCTAATTCCATCCATTATCTTTTACCCGCTTCTTCCATTTTCACGGGAATCGCCGGTGCCCATGTCCAGCGATCACTGTGCGAGGGACGGGGTACACTCTGGACAGGTCTCCAGTCCACCACAGGGCCACATAGAGACAAACGAGACAAGCAGCCATTCACTCTCTCACTCACACCTAGGGACAATTTAGAGTTACCAATCAGCCTAACATGCATAGTTTTGGTCTGTGGGAGGAAACCGGAGTACCCGGAGAAAACGCACGCATGCACAGAGAGAACATGCAAACTCCACACAGAAAGACCCCCAGACTGGGATTTGAACCGGCAACCTTCCCACTGAGGAGCGGCAGCTCTACCCGTTGTACCACCGTGCTGCCTGACCTTAATCCCAAATGGTAATTTTACACTAATTTCAATCTGCTCTGTTTACCTAAATAACCGTTTCTTCATCATGAGAATTAAATATATTTTCCAGAAACGTTAATAAATGAGAATAACAAGTTAAGAAAAAAGTATTATTAGTCGGATTATTTGAGCAACAACAACAACAAAATAGATTTGCAGGTTTGGTGAGTTTGTGTCAATGAAAACTGCTAAAAAAGTATTTAAAACTTGATCATTAAGTAGTACTGTATAAATAATCCATGAATAGTTTATTGAGTGAAGTCTTACCTAAATACTAGAAACTTTTTTTTTTTTTCCAAGTCTTAAAACTCAATCAAAATGTAAAAATTCCAGCAGGTTCTTCTCCCGACCGGGAGAGGGCAACAGTGAGCTTGCGCTGCGTCTGGTTTGCAGGAATTCAGGAAACGCTTTCCACCGTGAAAATGGCGCTTCGTGTTGTGAAAACCTAAACTCAAAAAAGAGCTTTTCGTTCTTCACCGTGCCCTGAAATCTCTCGAGGGCTCTTCGCATGTGATGTAATCTGAACAGGATTGGATTATGACAGAGGAAGGAGAGATTCTTCAGGAAAACCAAAGCGACAGTGGCTGAAGCCTAGTTGGACAGGTACGTTGACAGCAGCACGTTGCATCACGTTTCAGCGCAGTTCACGGCTAAACTAGTCAGCACTAGGCTTGTACTGGATGAAACACACGAGAAAGATTAAAAACGTCACTTGGTTCCTACTCAGGCTGACTTTGTCACCAAAGCGGAAGCTACGAGCTCTAGCCTGACGTTCGAGTTGTCCTAGCTAGCACCAGAATTAATATTTGTCTTAAATCGTGTAAAAGTACGATTGCCGATGGCACCTCACTTACAGTAAGGTCTCAATGCTGATACAATGTCTCTAATGGCTGGCTGACAAAAACGAACAACAACTAACGTTAGTAAGATTCGTGTTTTCTGTTTCAAACTTAGCGTTAGCAACCACAAGCTTAGCCTGACGTCGCTTTTGAAAGTAGTTAATAACTTCGCCTGTATGCGCCGTTGTTTACTTCTCGTTGCATAAATCTATCTTAAAATTTTAAAACATCTGAATAAAGTACAAGTTTTTTAGTTGATTTTAGGTTATTTCACTTAAATTTAACGGCGTAAATACATAAATAATCCTTCGTGACCTTGCGTGCTAACAGTTAATGCTAATGCTGCTGTTTGAAGAGTGCGGACTGTCACAAACATGTTTTAATCTTAAATAACGCGACTATAGTTCAAGGTGCGGTTAGCGTGGGTCACATTTCAGCTGTACTAATTAAATTATAGCTAAAAGTGACGGTTAATAGTGAGTTAGCTTAGCGGTGAAATGCGGTTCGTTATTCTAAGGCGTCTAAGAACAAACGGCGTGTTTTAGATGACTTTCAGTAAAATTTAAATATTGTCCAAAGTCTTTTTTTTTTATGTTTGCTTCTAGACGTTTTTTTTTCCCTGCCTTGTCTTGTGATGTATTCCGAGAAGATGTGGTGTTAAAAGATGGTTCACTAACTTTGCAATGTTTTTTTATTTTGTTTGTTTGCTCGCTCATGTCCGCACATTTAACGCTCTGAATGCGTCATGTCCAGGTTAAACTCATGGACTGACATTGTTTTGATTCTTTTTAGAATTCGTTTTAGGCCCACATGTCTCGACTCAGTGCCAGCAGGCACGTTGCGCGGGAGTTTGATTGAAGCTGTTGTAATGCCTCTGCTGGCCACAGGGGGCAGTGATTAGTCAAATGTCTGGACATTTGACATTGTCATTTTCAGTTTTTATCTTTTTATTTCATGGACACTGCACATTATGTTGCAATAAGCACAGTGTTTTACTTTAAAGGCTGAAATAACAAGTAGCTAGTGTTCTAATAAAACTGAGGAAAACCTGAAAAATTGCTGGTTGAGAGAAGTTTTTAAAATAACTAAGCAGACTAAAGTTCTTTCAAGTAAAATTGTAAATAAATAAGAGGGTTAGTAAAGACTTGTTCAGGTGCATTAGAGGTTTCACTCAGAAAGGGAGTTTTTTTTTTTTTTGGTGGGGGGGGTGCCATTTCATAGTTTTCCGATCAATAACTAACAATGGCGTTTTGTCAGACGTTGCTCTGAGAGCTCACATGTGCTGACAGATGTGCAGCAACATGCAGTGCTGATGAGAAAGCAAGCCCAGTTTCAGGCTCAGTTGTTAAAGGGCTAATAACTGGGTTAGAAACTGGGCCTGGTTGCTCACAGCCACGAGCACAGCTGTTGTTTGTGAAAGGAGCTCCTTCATTTGCTGACATTCAGCTGAACACAGCTTTACTGTCTTCCAGATTTTAACAGATTTATGTGTTTGGGTTTTGTGAGAACGTAATTTTATAAAAAATAAAATAGAAAGATTTAAGTAACATGCTTGTTTCCTGTTTTTATTTACTCAGTGAACAATGCATAACCTGACTGCCCAAGCCACCAGCAGCTTGCTGCCCTTCTCAGGGGTCACTCTAGATGCTCTGGGAGAGGATGAGATCAGCCTGGACGTTGTTCTTCAGGGCAGATTCGCTCTTGGTAAGTACTTTTACTTTGTTATTCAATATGCATATATTTAATAGGACCGGGTGCGAAAAATTACTTGGATCAAATTCTATCTTTTTCCATATTTGAAGTACAGGAATGTGTTTAATTATTTAAATTGTCAGTGTTGTGTAGATGCTTGCGGATAATTTAAAGAGTAACATCAAGGTTTTTATGGATTATATTTGTGATTATTTCACCACATGCATTGGCTTAATTTTAAACTACACATGACTGCATGGCCTTAGTTTAATAATATCTTTTAATTAGTTTCTTTGTGTGCACCACAAGGTTGCAGCGAGTTGGCCTGGCTGGCCTGTGGACCCCATCTGGAGATTGTCCACGCAGTCACTGGAATTCGACTGTCTGCATACTGCTTTAGCAGTGGAGGAGAACACCCACCCAGGGTCCTTGCTGCCCGAGACTTCAGCTGGCTCAAACGGTCTGGACTCAGTTTCACCCTCTCTGTTTTTTCATTCTTTGGATATTGTTTTTTTTATTTTTTTATTTGAAAGCGCAGTTTCCAACAGTTACTGATACTAAGGGATCAGGGCGGAGATTGCAGCAATCTCAAGTGTGATCCATTCACTATTACGTGTAAACCTGTCTTGTGACACATTTTGTAGGAGATCGTTAAGACACTTAGGCTTTCACATTGTCGTTGTCCTTGTACATAAATTTAATTTATTTAGTCATTCTTGGAGCATTCAGTGGTGAAAAGCTATCAATACAGTAATTTTAAAGTAGTAATAATACAGTGTAAAACTGTTCTAAAATATGTAAATTAAATGTTTCTTCCTGGATGAAACACTAACTGCGTTTAATGTGTTTAAAATGCATCACGCTCTGGATGACTAAACATCTACAGAATCGAGGGTCTAATAGATTTTACAGTGCACTATGATGATGAGAGTAGACGCATCTGATCCTTGTAGTATTTCACTGACAGCAGAGTCATTGTAAAAAGTAATAGTACAGATTTTTAAACCATCAGCCCAAAAGCACTGATAACAAGCAGACTTTACCAAACTGGCACCAAGTCTTCAATGTTTTAGTTTATCACCCAAAGAGGGTACCACCAATAAAGCTGTTCATACAGATTTACCCAAACCACAAAGGGATATATACCTTATCATGAAATAATAAAAAATTAAATGCAGATTAAATTAAAGAGTTCATTTATCAAAGCGATGAACAATTATTTGTACAGTTCGTCTTAGCTCTGCGCTATTGTCACACTATAGCTGTCAGAAACTTTGAGAATATGACGTTATTATTTATTTATTTTTAGGTCTGGGTTGTTGGTTGGTTTGGAAGAACCAGAAGGCAGTGTGTTGTGTCTTTATGACCTGGGACTGTCAAAGGTGGTAAAAGCTGTTTTTATACCAGGCAGGGTGAGTACATTTTGTTTTCCTTGGATACAACGAGCAAAAAAAAGTTTTTGCATTGTTGTAGTTTTGTTTATTTTCACGTTTGTATTACATTAATTTCTTTTCATGTAGGCGTTTAGACAAAGTGTTAGTAAATAAATAACAAAACAGTGGCACAACAATCTTTGTCTCTATACATTTACTTACATTTCATTAAATAAGTCTCAAACTGGCATACAAAAGATAAGATGTAATTTCTACCAAGGGCTCTAACTTTCAAAATCCTGAGTCTGTTTTTTTAAATACATTTTTTATTTTGATTGTCGTCTAGATCACAGCTATTGAGCCACTAGTGAGTTATGGTGGAGCGAGCACGTCTACTCAGCACCTCCACCAGAGTTTGCGCTGGTTCTTTGGTGTTGCTGCAGTGGTAACGGATCTTGGTCATGTTCTGCTTGTGGACCTCTGCCTGGATCATCTGCCCTGTAGCCAAAGTGAACAGGAGGCTTCAGGTAAGAAGCAGCTATAATACTTATTGTGGGATTTTGTGTTTTTGCATTCTGTTCTGTATTATTTTTGTCGCTTGTCTCTTACGAACTGTTTTATCGTTTTAACCATGAATCCTTTTTTATGCATCTGTTTTATTTTGGAGAAAATGTGACACCGGTGTGATGTGTTACTCACATTCAAATCACATGAGATAGAAGTTAGTGCAAGGTCTGCTATAGTTTGTCACTCACGGTTGTGTAATATTGATCAAGTATGAGCACAAATTATGTTGTCAAAGATGAGGTTTCTTGTTCTTTTCTATAGGAGCTATATAGTTACGTTGCTGTGTTTTATTCTGAAATGCATTTGCTCATGTTTGCAGACCTGCAGGTGGTGACTAAAACTCCTGCAGACATCCCCAGGCTGAGAGAGAGTAGCACCAGACAAGGCAGACATCTTTGCCTCCAGGTGCATGGACCCAGCGGGACCGGTGTCACAGCTCTACAGTACATCTCCAGAACCAACCAGCTGGCCGTCGGATTTTCAAATGGATATTTACAACTGTGGAACATGAAAACTCTGAAGAAAGAGTGAGGGTTTTTTTGTTGTTGAGGAAATTAAGGGATAAAAGCTTAAGTATTTATTTTGTTATATGGCTTGGGTGCATTTTTCTTACTTATTTTTCACACCGTCACTCTGAATTAAGTTTATAAAACACCAAACCATAAAAAAGTCGTAATGTAACAGTTTGCAGAGAGAATAAACAGCTGTGCATCAACTCTAAATCAATAAAGGCCACTTTTTTCCCTCACCAATTTTATCAATTTTACTCCAGATATTCTGGACTAGTTTATATCAACGCAGCTTAGTTTTTTTTATTTTTTTCCCCATTTTTTACATAGTGCTGATTTTTTAGGTGTTTTATCTAACAAGGCTGGCGTTATTTGCAGAACTGTAGGTGTGGGTAGAGAACAGGAATACTTGATGAAAGAAAAATACAAGGTCACAGAAAACTATAGTAAAGATATTAAAGGCAAACAATGCTTGATAAAACAAAGTTTTTATTTGTTTTTTTATTAATTTTTAGATACAATTCTCAGTTGGAGGGTGGCAGAGTGCCTGTGCACGCCTTCACCTTCCAGGAGCCAGAGAACGACCCCAGGAACTGCTGCTACCTCTGGGCTGTTCAGTCCTCTCAGGACCTGTAAGTCTCACCTGTAACTTCGCTTATCAGCATTCTACTTTTAGTCTAAACGAGTGCGAGTGTTTTTATTTTATGTCTATAAATAATTTTAACTTTGCGTCTTTTTGCTTCCTCACAGTGAAGGTGATTCGGTCAGCCTTCACCTGCTTCAGCTGGCCTTCAGTGAAAGGAAATGTCTGGCTTCTGGGAAAATCCTCTACGAGGTCTGTTCTATTTGTAGCAGCTGCTGTTTATTTTGTTTGTACATTTGGATCTTTTACATCTCAGTTAATACAGTTTGTTTACTTGTTATATTCTGCTCTGCTCTTACAAAGGGTCTAGAGTACTGTGAGGAACGTTACAGCCAGGATTTAAGTGGCACAGCGTTCCCTCTCAGAGCCCAGACCACAAACACACGTCTGCTCAGCTGCCAGACCATCGAGAAATTAAAACCCCATCCAGACAGGGATGACAATATGAATGAAGGTTAGACACCACCTCATGGTTTTTGTAGAAGGGGAATAAATGACAAGATGCATTTCTAGTGATGGATAACTAGTGTCGCCCCCTTTTTTTTTTTTTTACCAAAATGATGCTCTATTGTTTAACAAGCTTTTCCAGTTCCACCACCACTCACTTTTCTTCCATTATCTTTCCAGTTGCATCACCCGACACCAGCTTATCTATCTTCAGCTGGCAAGTCAAGGCTTATGGTCAGGGAACTCCTTCTACATACATTGGAGTTTTTGACATCAACCGTTGGTACCATGCACAAATGCCAGATTCTTTAAGGTACAGTGAAGTTGGATTTTATTTTGGTGTTCGAAAAGATGAATTGTAAATGTGTCCAAAGCTGATTAGTTGTTGGTAATGATATTTATTTGTGTTTTAGAAACTCCAGTGCTCTTGTGTTGCACTTTGAAATGACTTATTCTCTTTTTGGCCAGAACTGGAGAGTCTCTGCAGAATTGTCCCTACTTGGCTGTTTGGTCTCTGGAACCAGTAGTGCAGATGGTTTCTCCCCACACCCTCCTCGACGTGGTTGTACACGAGTGCAGCCTGAGCAGAGGTCTGCCCTTCACCTGTCCTCCCCCAGAACAGTACTTTAATCCAACCACTTATAACTTTGGTAGGTTTACACAATGTGCACCTAAAACGTTTTATTTTGGAGTGATGATAGTAACTGAGTTGTCTTAAAGGTTAATTTTTTGTGCTTTTTTATTGTATAGTTGGTTATAAAATTACTAATAAGGTGAAATGTGTTTTATGGTTCAGATGCTACCTGCTTGCTCAACTCTGGAGTTGTGCATTTAACCTGCTCTGGCCATCAAAAAGAGGCAAGTATGAACATTCTTTGTAATTTATTCATTATAACAACCTGTCAGTTTAGACAGTATATTATTCTACTGCTTGTGTGTTAGCTGTTTAAACACACAGATCACATCTTTTGTGTTCTTGTTTTGAAGTACGTGTACAATGATATGTTTACTAATTCAGTCCAGTTATTCAGATTGGATCTTGAAGCAGTTTAAGTAAATTTAATTACAAGGATTTTATCTTTGTCATTACAACCAGACCTTAAGGTTTTTGAAGAAAGCCGCTCCTTGTTCCAGTGACATCATCTCCACTAGCTACTCCCACTGCCTCATGTCTGGCCTCCTCTCCTCCCGCCTGAGTGACACTCAGGCGTCCAGCCTCTCACAGGTACTGCACATGTCGGGCAGCTGTGACTGAGTGGTTAGAGCAGTCGTCCTCCAATGCAAGAGTTTGGGGTTCGATTCCACCAGCAGTCACATGCCGAAGTGTCCCTGGGCAAGACACTGAACCCCTCACTGGCTCCGATGTGTGTCCCATCGGTGTATGAATGTGATAAAGCTCTGATTATTCTTTGTATAGATCTAGTAAAGTGCTGTATGAATGGGTAAATGAGGACACAGATTGTAATGTAAAGTGCTTTGAGTATCTTGATTAGATAGAAAAGTGCTATATAAGTACAGTTCCATTTACTTCAAGTAGACTTCACTTTCTCTGACTCACTGATTGCCATTCTAACAGCTTTAAGCTAAATTATTGACAATAATTTAAATTAAATTTCATTAATGTTTTCATCAATACAGGAAATGTTCAAAAATTTGAAACTGTTTCTATGATTTAAAAAAAAAAAAGGCTACTTTTATTTAAATCCTTTGCAGTCTGCCTTATTGAACTTCTAGGATTCTATAGAAACTCAACAAATTATCTAAAATCTTTTGTTAGTTTTAGCCGCTACTGTAGTTTGAGGGTGTTTTAAATAATTTAGAAAATGTAGATTCATTGCGAAAAATTAAATTTGTCATAAGGCATAGACATTTTTTATTTTTTTTAATAGTTTTTACATTTTAATGCAATGTTTTCTTGGACTTTAGGAGGAGCAGCTTGACGCCATCTTGTCAACAGCCGTTGAGACCAGTTCTTTGGGTTTGATCACTGGTTGTATCAAACAGTGGACTGCAGAAGGTAAACGGGCCAAACTTGTAACTCATTTTAAATTAATTTATTAAACAAACTTGTTGCCCATTTGTTCAAATTTATGTGGTGGAAAATAAAATTTCTAATTCAGAACTGAATGTAAACCTGAATGTATTTTTGTGCACAAACCTCTAAATCTGTAGCTTTTCTGTTTTTATTCCAAAATCACATTGTTGTCAACTCTTTCTGTTTTTCTTCAACAGAACAACCAGGTTCTGCACTGAACCTGCGATACATCCTGGATTGGGCTTGGAACAAAGTAGTCCAGACCAAGGAGGAACTAGATGGCATCTGTATGTTTTTTATTTAGTTTTTTTAGTTAAAAAGTTTATTTGACTGTGCTGGAGCCCAAAGCGCCAAGTAGGTATTTCTGCAGACAAATTCAGAAGGCGTATCTGGGGGGCCACATTTGATTGGACGAGGCATATCCGGGGGCCACATCTGATTGGACGATAGAAAAATGTGTGTGCGGATGGCCACATCTGATTGGACGATAGAAAAATTGGCGTGTCTGGAGGGCCACATCTGATTGCACCAAAAAAAAAAAAAGGCTGAACAATAAAAAAACAAGCTGTTTGTGTTAACCACAGGCATGTTATGTCTATGGTGTTAACCGGTTCGACATTAGCGGCGTCTCAGGTTCAACATTGGCGGCGTCTCAGTTCGACATTAGCGGTGTCTCGGTTTGACATTAGCTAGCGGCGTCTCCATAACTTCTCTTTCCGCCTCTCTTAACACAGAACTTCCAGTTACATTTCAAAATAAGAGCAACATAAATGGGTAGTGGGGAGGGCTAAATGTTTGCTTTTTACTACCTAGCTATTACATTAAAAAACAAAATCTGTTTTGGTTGTTCAATAATGCGAAAATAGTTACAATCAATTCATAAAGAAAGAAAAATAAAGTAACCAAAATAATATTAATACTTAAACTGGCTTTGGGACAAAGGATGTTTCCTTTAACTTCACATTTTCTTGTTCAACTTTTAAAGCAGTCACTGCAGATGAGTGATTGTCAGTTTCTGTAAGATTTCTGCAACTGGAGCAGGTATTTCTGCTTACTGGTTAAATTCCTCAGCTGTCTCAGATTAAGGGTCAATCCTACTCCATGTTTCAGCTCCTTTCATAGATTAGATCTCATAGAAGAACTTCTAAAGAGCAAATTTTGTTTTTAGGTTTTGTTTTGGGCCATTATCTGTTACAGGACTCATGATATTTAATTGAGACCAGACTTTTTGACAAATAGGAGCAGGTTTCGCTTCAGATGCTTCATATTTCATTGTACCCAGACCACACTCAAGCCAACCTGTGTCAGGTGCAGCCTACACCCCAAGGACTAAAGAGAATCTTCTTGTGTTTGACAGCAGATATAACACTGTTTCTTAGAAACCTTCAGTTTGAAAAATACATTACATAACTTACCTAAAGAGCCAGCAAATACAGTTAGCCAATCAGTGTTTGCCCCTTACAAATGCCTTTTCTCCAGAAACGCCCACTTTTGGTCTGCAGAGAACCACTTCTCCAAAGTTCTGAGTTTTAACAAAACAATTAAAGTATCATGAAGTTTATTTTTATCACCAAATAGCAATTTGTATTGGAATTTCAGTAAATGTTTATGCATTTCAATATTTTTCTGTAACTGAATGTCTATTCAGACCTTTCTGCATCCTGTGAACAGATCTTATTTAAATTAGATCAAATAAGTTTGCTTAACCTGTTTGGTGATAATCCCAGACCCATGACTATTAGTACTAGTATAATTGAAAACGTATGATCTCTGTCAGTATCTTGGTAATATTAATGAATTTTCACCAGTGCATCTTGATGATTAACACGTTTCTGTGTGTGTTTGATCTCCAGGTGCTCCGCTGTTTGACAGCTCCTGTAACTTCACAGATCCTCAGACGCTGCAGCTGCTGCAGCACAGTCAGAGGCTCCTCAGTAACCTCAGCGCCATCTTCCACTGTCTGCTCAGTGAAGCTCAGGAGCTCACACAAAAAGGTACCGTACTATGTCCACACAGGTGCGAAAGTAGCATTATATTTGACCGATTCAATTAAAATTAATGCAGCCATTTATTTTCTAATTTTTAATGTTGGGAAAATAAATTAGTTCCCTACAACTATATAAATAAACCAAATGACATGTTATCTTTTAATTTGCTGTCTTGTAGTTTAGAGGTTTTTAGGTATAATTGATCAGTTTGATTTGTTTTGGGTTTGCAGGTCTGGCAGGTCTGATGAACAAGAACATGGTGTCCAGTCTCATTTCCACTTACGCCCAGGTGGTTCTCTGGTTCTGCCATACGGGCTTACTCCCAGAGGGGTCAGGTAAAGTGTTTGCACAGACAATCCATGATAAAAAAAAGTATCTAAGCAAAATATTTAGTAAAATATTACTAATAATTAAGTTTTTGAGGAAGCAATTGAAATGAAATTGATTTAATATTATAGCTAACTCGACACGCTATGCTTTTACTGACTTCAAAAACAAAACTTAATGGAAAAAATAGATTAAAGTCTTGTGATTTTGCAGGTGGTATTAATTTTTTTCATCATCTCAGTACTCTGATTCAGTTTTCCTCTCGCTCTCACTGATCCACCAGATGAAGATGCTCTCCAGATTTCCAGGCTTTTCTACGTTCACTCAGTCATCAGCAATTATTACAGCATACGCAGAGAAGAGTTGACCAGGTTGGCCAAGTAAGTGAAGCATTTAATCACAGATAAAATGAGTTACTTGTTGGGTTGTGATCATGCAAGATATTAAAAGTACAAAAACACATCTTAGGTTTTGTCTGTTGTAGTTTTAATTTTTTTGCTTTTATATGTCTGTTGAAGTTAATCTCGTGATATTTTCCTGTCATTTTCTCAGAAGCAAGTGGTGTGCAGACTGCCTTATGATTGACAGCTTGGTTGGTCATTGTGGTGAACGCTTGACAAACCTTTGGAAAAGGGACGAGGGTGGAACAGGGCAATACCCACCACCTACACTACATGTAAGAACATCATGTTATGTAATGTAAATGTATTCCATTTTAATATGTTGTGTTTATTTTATGTGCTGTTTCACAAAGAACGATTTCAATTGTACATCTGCAATCCGCAGGCTTTGCTTGACATCTATCTACTGGACAATATTGATGAAGCTACCAAACATGCAATCGTATCCTTTGACTCGAACTGCTTGTTTGCTGCATCCATCATACTCAGAATTTTTATTTTATTTTAACATAATTAATACAACTTTTATTGGATCCTTGACATATGGCTCCAGGTGATTTACCTGTTGCTGGATGTCATCTACTCCTTCCCTAATAAAGACGGTGCATCAGTGGAGTCTTTTCCCACAGCTTTTGCCATCCCGACAGGATTAGTGAAATTAGTGCAAGGCCTCTGGCTGCTGGATCATCACGAGCATCAGGTGAAAACTGACACAACACTTAGGTCTATCATTCACTTGTCTTATAGAACCGGTAAACTCCAGTTTAATATATTTAGTGACAACAAAACGACAAACCTTTTACTTTAGCGTCTCTTTTTGTTACATTGAGCTTATTTTTCCTCTTATAGAGTTAGTGAAGTTTACTTACACAAACTTCTGTCCAATCATAATCTCCTGCTTCTTGCCATGACCTTTCTGAGAACATCTTTAATTAGAAATCTTAGACATTCTGTTAATTTGATTAGCTTTCTATTTATACCACATTTCTCCAAATCTGTAAAGCCAGTCACTTCATGCATGCATTTAATGCTGATCTATGATTGTTGAACCCACATCATTTATAATTACTTTATTAAAATACACTTACCTGTGTATGTGTGTCTGTGTGTCCTCATCAGAGTTCATTTGAGCTGCTCTTGCATCCGGCTGCTTCTCAGTTTTATTTCGTGTGGCAGCATGAGCGTGTCCTGCAGGCTCTGATGTGCCAGGGTCAACAGTCGGTGGCACTTCAGTACTTTCATGTTACAAAGCCCCCAATTACCTCCACCTCCCAGGCCAAGCTTTGTCTGTCTGTGCTGCTACACAACAGGTGAGTTCAACGGTTGAGATTTCTCTGTAAAAACGGCAGTAACATTTTATTTTGGCTAAACAAAATGTACTCTTCTAGGTGTCTTACTGAGGCGTGGTGCTTACTTCGGCAGCACTCTAATCATTTTAATGTTGTGGAGCTTCTGGGCTTCCTGTATGAGAGCTGCCAGGAGCTGGACCTCATCAAAGAGTTGCTCAAACTTCCCCTGCGCCTCAATGAACAGGTAAACAGGAAGGTCAAAAACTGTTAAACCTTTATGTTTGCCTCAAACTTTTTATTGTTTTTGTTGTTTAAACTTTTTATAGGTCTTTGTTGATGCTCTAACCTGTAGATTTTGTTGGATTTCAGGACTGTTTAGAGAAGTTTCTTCAAAGTACAGGAGGTCTCCAAAATCGAGAACTTCTAATGGTTCACTACCTTCAACAAGCCAACTACATTCCCGCTCTGCAGCTCAACCAGAACCTCAAAATTAACCTGGTGGTACGCATTAAAACAAACAGGCGGAATTTTTCGGGACATTTAGGAATATTTTTTTAATTCGGAGTGAGACGTACAAGTAAATTGTCTTCAGTTTTGTTGTGTATTCTTTAAATACACATTCCAACATGTATGTAGAGATTTTTCAGTTTAGAACTAAATTGTTTTTTCCTCTTAGACTGAGCGAGACCCGAAGCTTAAAGAACGATTCAGCATCAGAAACTCTATATTAGATCTGTATGGGAAAGTTTTGCCCAGAGTGCAGAGAAAACTGGCAATGGAGAGAGCCAAGCCCTACCAGTATCCCCACACTGTCCATAGAGAGGGTAAGGAGCCACACAACTTACGTTGACATCTGCAACAGTGCAGCACAGAAAATGTAGTTTCACAGCACGGTTCTTAAATAATTTGCTCAGTTTATTTCAGATTAATCTGTTTTAAGTTTCTTCAAAGGTCTTCAAGACTTAAATTAAAAATAACTCTGCCCCACTGTGTTTAGTCTCTCGGCCCCAGCCACTGTCGACCATCACAAAGCGCCCTGCCAACGAGAAGGTGATGTCCAGGGCTGGATTCATCAACAATGTCCTGACCAAGATTGAGGAGGTGTGGTTGGGGAAAGAAACTACACCACATTCTTCTCCATCCAAGACGTGAGAATCCAATACTCCAGCTGCACCTTGAGATTAATATTTTTCCAAGTATTGCTCTACATCTTTTTTTTTTTTTTTTTTTTTTTACTTTTCCCAGTACAAGGGTAGCTGATGTCCAGACCTCCAGTCCTAAGACCCCCAACCAGGCTTTACCTGATCCCTTCCTTGGAACTCCGATCAGCATGACGTCCAAACGAAAGTCAAGGTACTCTCAGAAGATCTTTAGTGAAAGTGTAGCGTCTCTGTAATCCTAGATAAACCCTCTAACTTTTTGTTTCATCCCACAAGTTAATTATTCATTCTAATCTGAGTACTTTAATCTTGATTTCCATTTGTGATTATGAAAATTAAACAGAAACATTATAACAATCTTTTCATAGTTATTTGCTTTTTTGAGTAAATTTATCTATCACGGTTGCCCGTTGCCAAACTGTTTTGCTCCAACAGCCTCTTTAAATATGGACACTTTGCCTTTTTCTTCTGTTTTCTTGTGACTCAGGCTGATGGATTTGGTGGTCCATCCCTCCTGTCACACTCCTCGTCCTCTTCTCAGCCCCCCCAGGCCTCCTAGCTCTTGGGTTTCTCCAAAAAGCATCAGAAAAGCGCCTGAACTCACTTTGCTACAGACACCGCAAGTTGTCAAAGTGAGTACACAAAATAAACTTATTAAAATGTTTCCCCAAATATTTAAACAAAATATAAATGTTCAATCTACAGAAAGAGTTGTGGTACATTGTTATATTTTTATGGGCTTGTTTCTCCTCTCAGCGAGCTCGAGCCTTGGCTGCTTCTGGTCCCGTCTTTTCAACTTTTACTCCTCAGTCCATCCTTCGCAGCAGCCTGAGACCCACACCTGTTGCTACGCCTTCTGCTTCTCCGGGACGCTCCATCACCCCCCCACTTCGCAGCAAAGAGAGCAGGATCACCTTTATCGAAGACGCAGAGGCTCCTGAAACAGAAAAGGCTGTGCGGTGGACTAACGGGGTAAGACCCAGCACACTGGGGGATTATTTAGTTTTATTTTTGTAGGGTTGATTTTATATTCATAACTGAATATGCCCTCTTTTTTTTTTAAAGATGGCAGCAGATAGTGAGATTAGCCAGCTGAACAGAGGCTCCACAACATTCAAAGTTGCATGTAAGACTTTGTCTTCACAACCATATGAGGAAGAGCAGCGTCCTCAGGGAAAGTTCTTGCCTCCAGAAGGTGGAGTTTCCTCAACACAGCATAGATGCTCTGAGAGTGAGTCATCCTTCACCAATGAAGTGACTGAAGAAGCAAGTCCATCAGATGGAAAACAGCCTCATGTTAGTCTGAGCTTTGACACCAGCCAGGCATCTGTTCGGTCAACAGACACTACTCTAGAGTACTATGATGCCCCTCTCTCAGAAGATCACATAGGAATGCATGGACCCACAGGTCCAGATGATGACGACGATGATGTGGTGACAGTGAACATCAAGCCTGTAACTGAAATGGAAGAATCAGAAGAAAATCCTGATGCAACCACTGAACAACACCTTCAGCTTCTTTCAGAGGATGCTGAGAAGGAAGAAGAGGTTGGTAAGAAAAGCAGCCTGAGGTCTGAGGAGTTGATGGAGAGTGGTCCTAATCTGGAGGCTAACAATGAAGAAAAAGCAGTGGATTCTAAAAAGGAGCAAGATCAGAATATTGGATCAAATAACGAACAGGAAGATGGAGCAACTGTTGACCAAGAAGAGCCATTTCACCATGAAGGTGAGTCAGTTTTTGAACTTGTGATATTTCTCTGATGTGAAAGAAGTACAAGCTTGAAACAACGTTTATATGATAATTACAGGTGTTTTAATATCTTTACTTTGCCATACTCTAACTAGTACTTTGATTTACCTTATATGCTGGCAGATGGTAACCAGGTTACTGAGAGCTCAGACTCTGAGATCAAATCTAAAGATCTTCCAGTGAAAAACGAAGTATTGAATGTCCAGCCGGAGGCCACCGAATCCTCCGAGTTGAATATTGAGGAGCCTAAACCAGCTGAAAAAGCTGAAACCCCAAACGAAATGGATCTGGAGCAAGAAACAGGTTTTTAATCTTTTTTAAGAACTAATATTATACTACCACTTCCTAATATGGACTTTGTGTACACAGTACTGTCCGGTAAATAGATCTTTGGAATAACTGAAACTACCGTATTTTTTGCTGTATAAGTCGCAAAAATTTTTTGCATAATTTGCATGCCCTGCGACTTATACACCAAAGCGATATATTTATGGATTTTTTTTCCCCATATTTATTAACCAACTTTGGGCAGAGATATGACCGTTTTCTTTCATTCAGACTGAAAAAAAAATGAACAGTACCATTTTCAGCCACTAGACAGCAGCAGAGTAGTAAGGCACGCCGTTGTATCATGTAGTAAGTAAAAGTGGCTATAATGACAAGACAAAAACAGCTAGACTTTATTCATTATACTTTATACTTTATTATTTTTGTCTTGAACTTTTTTAAATTTACCATGTCCTGGATGACTGAGAATTTTCACCAGCTATTAATGACACAATCGGCTTGCCATAGTCCCCCCACCTTCGTTCTGCTCGCTGCTTGGAGCGACCGTCAAAACAGCTGCATTTTGCTGCACCGCCCCAGCGAAATGCAACTAATTAAAGTGTATTTATTAAGTAAAAGTTCAACTGAGACACACCTTTGCTATAAAGTCGAGCAAACAAATAATTGTTTTTAGGTGTTTGTCTTGTTAAATTTCGAAGAAATGAACAGCGGCTTTTCCCTCTGCACATGCCCACTTACGCAAATTGGGTTTTGAAATACAAATGATTTGACCGTCAAAGTGCATTTATTAAGCAAAATTTAGACTGAGACACACCTTTACTATAATTTTGAGCAAATAGTTGGTTTTAAGTGTTAATCCTGTTAAATTCTTATTAAAGTCCTCCCGTGCACTCTCCTACCATTTGGCAGCCCATTGATTTTTGGCACAGCACCGGCCCACATTTCTGGGTGGTCAGCGGTGATGCATAATAGATGCGACATATACGGAGAAGCAACATATTTATGGATTTTTCCACTTTATTAGCTAAATATGGCCTTATGCGACTTATACGTGTACGGCGGAAAATACGTTATTGCCACAATTGTTGAATGAACCTGTGTGCTGTTGGTGAAAACTGTTAAAGTAACAAGTTGTTTTGTTTGACCTCAGATCTCACAGAGCTTGTCGAGCAGCACCTGTTTGGTGACGATCTGTCTCTCAGCCGCTCAGCGATCCACAATGCATCACTGAACCAGTCTTCCTTCAGCAGGTGTGGGCATTTTTCTGTTTTCAAAACAAATGACACTCGGCTGAAACTGTTTTTTGCACTTGAGCTGTAGCCACAGTTTACCTGACGTTTAAAGGTCTTGTAGATGTGTTAACATGAGCAGAAATCATCTTTACACTTAAGTTCATATTCGGCAAACACTTAATTTGTCAGTGAGTTGCCAGGACATTGTATTTCTGCAAGTCTGGGGCAATCTTAGTTACAAAGATGTTGAATTAATTGTTTTTGTCACGTTAAAAATACTGTATATTCTCACTCTCATCCAGTGAGTCATTAGAAGAGGTTGAAGAGGAGGACCGGCTCGCTGCCGCAGATCCCACTGTGTTTGCCACTAAAGCATCAGCTTCTGTGACGTCCTCTGAGCCAGCGGGTACCGACTCCCACTGTGAGGATGATTACAAACACACAAACTGTAGTTCTATTCATGTTTGTGGACATTTCTACAAACACACAGACTGTAGTTCTATTCATGTTTGTGGACATTTCTTCAAACTTTGTCATTTTTCTGTTTGTGTTCGTAGCGGTTGTGAGTGTCAACGATAGTGGGGAGTTGTCTAGTCCTGCATCTGAGGAGGAAGACGAAGAGGATGAGGATGATGAGGAGGAGGAGGAGGAATCTGATCAGGAAGATGATGAGGAAGAGGAGGACTCTGGTAGTGAGGTGGAGATCATTGAGGAGGTCCAGGGTAATGGGACGCTGCCTCCCCTCCAACCCAGTTCAGATTTTGTACTGCAGGAACACACACACTTCCTGTCAGCTCTGTCGGAGCAGGAGGCTGCAGAGTTCTCCATCATCACAGCTGGTGCAGAGATGAAGGTAACAACGGACGTCTAACTAGTAGACTCTTGTTGTATTTATTTATTGTTTATTTGATAGGGAAAGATACAAGAAACATAGATCAGAATAATCTAATGTCTGCATCACAATGTGTATAGCCAAAGCTAATTCACAACACCCGTCCCTAGATGGACCTTTAACAGTTGGTTAAATGAAAAGTTGAGATCAACAATAAAAAAACAATTACAATTATTTAAAAAAAACAAAACAATGTATTATCTCATTAAGGAAAACTAGTTCATACTATCTGATGTAATTTAATCAACTGTAGATAAGAATAAATTTTAATAAATAAAAAAAAAATATCAAACTTCTATAAATGAGGATTTGGTACTGTTCTTTTGTTTTTACATTGAATATTTTGAGCAACTAAGGTCCAAAAGTTGTGTTTATCTCTTGACAGATGGTGGAGGACGACATGGAGGGCGAGGTGGTGATGGTCAGACTCGGTTCGGATGACGGAGGCATGGATTCAGATGAGAATGTAGAACATGGATCGGCGTTCATGGAGCTCAAACCGTCCACCTCTCTTCTGGTGCCTGTGGAGCTCGTGGAAGGACAAGATGGCCTGGCTCACATTGCTCAGGTGGCTCTTCCTGAGCTTCAGCCAGCTGCTGTGGCAGATCCACCACAGTCTGACTCTCACAGCAGCTTCACTCTCATGCTGAATATGGATGAGTATGAGGTTAAAGAGGCAATGCTGCCGATCGAAAACGATGCACACTCTTCTGATCCTTCCTCTCAGCCTCAAGAAGAAAATGACAAATCTGACATCATTACTTTGGACACAGATAACATGGATCCTTCACAAGAGGAAGAGATGAAGAACTTGGATGAAAATAATGTTGATGGATTGGGAGCACAAACGCTTCAAACTGACTTACAAACTGAAAACGTTGCAACAAAGCTGGAGGCAGGAGATGCTAGAGAACAGAAAAGTCAACAGTTTGTGTTGCTTCAAGATCATGAATCTGCTTCTCTTTCAGTTTATGTGCCATCTACAGCTGTAGAGCTTCCTGCAGCTGTACATGACAACAACTCTGTGGCAAAGGCAGAGTCTGTTGAGGAGATCGAAGAGGAGAGTAAATCAGTATTTGCTGAAGGAGAGCAGAAACCTCAGGGAAATGGGCCTGTTGATACCGGCCCAGAGTCTGAGGAAAATGAGTCCGTTATAGAGAGGAAGGTACATGAACCTGAAACTTCAGCAGAGCCCAAAGCTAAGTCAGAGGAGAATACAGAAAGACCCAGGAGAAGACCGAGGAAGAAAAATGCTGACGAGAAACCTGTGGAGCAAGTTTTGATATCGGAAAGCCATGCAGACAAAAAGTCAGTCTTACAGACCCCCACCTCTCAGAAAAAGAAACCACCTTCTACTCCAACACGGAGGATGACGAGAAGGACTGTTACGTTCATCTCTACATTACCTGAGGCAGCAGAAGAGCCAGAAGAGGATGGGGATGCAAAAACAAGCCGTCTGGTTCCTGTCTCACCCACTCGAACCTCAAGAAAAGGTAGACCGGTTAAAGAGAACAAAATCCAAACCAGAACACCTCGAAGAAGTACCCGCAACACTCAGCCAGATCCACCTGAAGGTGAGGGTGATGCAACGAGCGATACCTCAGTTGCTTCGACCTCCAAGACCGTTTCTCCAGTTAGACGTTCGCTGAGAGCCACATCAACACGAACAAGCCAGAGGCTTCAAGATGGCAGCAAGGAGACGTCTGCAGCTCCAGAAGTTGAAACTGAAGAAGAGATGGACCAACAGGATGAGGTCAAGAATAAAAAGGTTGCTCAAAGAACAAGCTCCAAGACTCCAACCCCTTCTAAACACAGGATTACTCAAGTAAACACTCCCAGGAGATCAAGCCGAAGGACGGGCAATAGCAGTGAAGTGGAGTCAACACCGCTTCAAACGCTCAAAGAGGAGAACGAACCCGAGGAACCCGTTGTCCATCCTGTGAAACGCACCTTCAGAAAGACTAAATCAGAGGCGCTTCCTTCCATGAAGGAGAAGGAAGAGGATGAAAAGGAGCAACCTTCAAGACCTGTGAGAGCCTCTCGACAATCCGGATGGAATACTCTAAATCTATATCCACAAGTAAGGATTCAATATTTTCACTTAATACTAGTTTCAGTTTGGAATAACAGAAACCTGAATGTTTAACATCAGTTATATAATGTTTATTGATCACCTTGTTCAGGATCATTATCAGATTTTAACCAATATGTGTGTTTTGTAAGCTCAATCATCCAGGTAGATAACAACAAAAATGTTTAAATCATGTCATCTGTGTTCAGATGACATGATTTAACCATTTTTGTTGTATGTGTGTTGAGACGTAAAAATGAAGGTTTTCATCTATACGTCTCCTCCCTGACTGTCATGCATGCCTCACACCTTATTCCATATAACATTTACCATCTCTAGGTGAAAATAGTTCCTGTATCCTTTCCTCAGAGCAACAGGAAGACGAAACAAACCATCCCAGAAAAAATCAAAGGAATCGAAAACCTCTCCGAGCCTGAACTTCACAAAAACGCTGGTCAGAAAAGTTCCCGTCGCACAACCAGAAGCAAACTTTGGGACCACCCTGTAGAAGATCTCCCCCTGCTGGACTCACCGTTGGAGGTGGATTCTGAAACCCCGGTTGCAGACGCCCTCATCAAGAGGCTCCAGGATGAGAAGGAGAAACAAGAGGGTATGAAAAAGCTCTACTTAAAAAAATAACTTTTTTATATCATATCTACATGATTTTAAAGGACGTGTTTAAGATGTGGATGATTTTTAGACATGAACAAATTTGGTTTTACCCTTTGTTAAAGAAAAATTGTCCCTCAAAACAACTGGAAACTGATGAAAGTAATGAGAAAAATAGCCGTTATTTAACATGCCCCCTTGGTCAAATTATTTTCGGGGGGGGGGGGGGTGTCTAGAGTACAGTTGTCCCTCGTTTTTTGTGAGGGATCTGTACCCTGAAGCCCCGTGATAAGTGAAAAACCACGAAGTATGAATAGTAGCACACGTAGTAAGTAGTAGTTTATTGTAGCATATATATATATTATATATACTATATATATATATATATTATATATACTATATATATATAATATATAATATATATATATAAAGGCATTTTAAACCCTTCCCACATGCTTGCAATATTCTAAACAATGTTTCTAAACACTAAAAGAGCACAGAATGTCATGATTTCAGCTCTCTGCTCTCAACCATCTGCAAGCGCTCTTGGCCACGCCCACTTCTCTGCTCTGCATGGAGATCAGCTGCAGCAGGAAGTTTATCCTGAAGTGTGGGCTGTACAAAGGTGCAGCAGGTGCTAAATAATTTTAAATAATTTATTTTAAATAAAAATTCCATGCCGATCATGCGGCTCATTCATCAATCAGTTGTGTGTCATGTCCAATCTTATTTTGAAAAACCGTGATAGAGCGAGTCCGCGACAAACGAACCACGAAGTAGCGAGGGACTACTGTACCATCTTTTTAAGTCAGTTTTTTTTAATATGCTGGACCACAATTCAAAAGCAATGTCTTAATTTTCACGACTAAATTTTCAGTCTTTGTAAACTTTTTACACGCACATATAAATTTACTAATTGGCTTTTTATATATATGAATGTTTCTGTTCAGTGCCCTGAGATGACTTTTGTTGTGACTTGGCACTACTGTATATAAATAAACTGAATTGAATTGAACATATACTGGTATATATAAATTGTGTCTTTTCTTTTGAATGCAGGTGGTGTTGCGACAAAGATGTCGAGAACCAGGCGTACGAGTACAAAATTATCAGTGAAGCAGGTTTCATCTCAGCTTCCTGTTCTTGATCTCGATGAAGACAAATTTAATCCAGACGAGCATTCGTACGTCTACTCACCCTCACGACGACAAACTAGAGGTGAGCTGATCATTATTGAGCGTTGTTTCTCTTCCGTGTGTCTCAGCTGGTGTCAATAACTTGGTGTTGTCCCCGTGTCTCAGCGAGCAGAGTCGTGTCTCCTGGTCCCAGTGAGGAGTCGGCGACGCTTGTCACTCGCAGCAGAACGAGAGTGAAAGATGTCGACCCTCAGGTAAGATTTTCTGTTTGTAAAGTAACCCTGTAGTAAATTTTGTTCACGTAAATACGACTGCAGAAATTATATGTGTAGCACTTTGTCATTTGGTTCATCATTTTTTCTGAAGAATTAAATAAAGAATAGTGTTTACTTCAAAGGAGACATGATCAAATCACATTTATCTTTTTTCAGGATAAAATATCTTCAGAAGAGGATTACACAGAAATGGAGAAAACGACGGGTGTTTCCAAAACCAGAAATACACGCAAACGACCAGCCAAGTAGGTCTTCTGTGTAAAACAACGCACCCTGCATTAAATCAGAATCAGCTTTATTGTCATTGCACAAAAACACAACAAAATGACATTTCAGACAGCCGTCCAAAGAGAAAACAAACATGGGTAGACGGGATGTCTGAGGCCGCAGCCTAATGGGAAGCGCTGCCCTTTGCCTAGAGCCAGATGCTCAGCATTTTTTCCTCTTAATCTTCAGATCCAAAGTTGTTTCGGCGCCACTTCCTGTGGCAGAGGCGAACCTGATCTCTCCTCTGCCCAGTCCAGTTGATCCGCTCCCACGAGCTCTGAAGAGGATTATGGAAGGAGAGGCCCCGACCACCGGCAGGAACGTTCGACACAAACGCGTCCTGGACACGGTTTTTAGAAAACCCGTCACCCGGAGAAAAAAGCTGTAAGGATGTTGGTGGCGGTTAGAACGAGTTAGCCACCTGAAGGGGAAGATTTGAACCAGATCAGTCAAAACTTTGTCAAATAAAAACTGATAACTGAACTGATGATGGTTTTGTTTTTTCAGATCCCTCATAGCGCTGCAATTTATATATCAATGTTCCTGTTGAGCTTAAATTAGAAGCCGTGTAGGTGGCAGGATAATATATTTTTGGAACTAAATACAAGAACTGCAGCTTAAAGCAGAAGGTTTTATTTTTAGAATTTACAATTCCCTCAATTGATTTTACTTGATCTTGTATTTGTGACCATTTTGTGTAGGATGTTTTATGACACTTCATCTGGTCACAGAATGGCACAAGAAACGATAAAAAAAAGTTTTTTTGTGACTCCCATCAAAGATTGAGCTGAACTTACCTCATGCTGAGGTTTTCTTTAAGATTGTTCTTGATGTTGTTGATTACTTTTAAAATTTCAAGGCCGGCTGTTTTTTTCTACGTGAGGAAGAAGCAAGCAGCCGACTAGTGGAGATGTATTTCTACTAGATTTGTATGTAGTTCTTTGCTATGTTCCAAATAAAGTTAATAAATTCATTTGAAAGAATGATGTTTATTTTAAATTGTCTGCTGAATGCTTTTAACCATCTTACTGGATTGCCTTTGCCATAATCTTAAGAGTTAATTTGATTTGAAGGATTTTGTGTGAAATTTGCTTCTGCTGTCCTCGTATGGGGTTCATCATAGAAATGGAGAGGAACTGTGTTTATGTGCATCTTAATTTGGGACGTGTGAAAAGGAGTGTTTAATTGAATTTCTGACAAACATTTGATTACTTTTTTGATGAATGTATGTAGAATGTCTTATTTTTATGACTGCTCTTTGATAAATATGACAAACCTTTTAAACCTCTGCTTCTTGCCTTTGAGTGTGTCTCACTTCCGAGTGTGTTGTATGTGGAAATAATAGCCCTGTGAATATTTTAGGGTCTTCCAGCCTGAAACGTTTGAAGTTTGATTTCAGAAAAAGCCACTCTGCAAACATGTGTAGTGTCACTGCTGGAGTTCTGTGTCTCTTTTATAATTTATAGATCTCGATGAGGTGAAAGTGAAACCTGCCTCATCTGCTCTCCTTTCCTCCAACAAAGAAGGAAAAACGAACAAGTAAACTGACTTTAAATGCTGATAATTCACTTTTATTATCAATTTTGAACTAAATTTATACTCGAGTCTTCAGCACTTTAGACAGAGGATATCTGCACAGCAACTTTTCAATTGAAAATTAGGATTAAACTCATTTCCAGGTAGGTGTGCACACCTGTGTCCATGTTTCTGTGTAACCTGACCCCCCCAGCACGGTGGTGGTCTGTGAGATGGAGCTGATCCCATCAGTCTGACTCATGTCCTGGTACCTGCCAGCTGCAACCATGAAGGCTAAAGCCTCTGAGGTCCACAACAAAGACTGTGTCAAAGTGGCGGTCAGAGTGCGACCGTTCAACAAGGTCAGTGAGCTGATGTTTCTCCTAGTTTTTAGTGAAACGATGGTTCCAGTTCTAAAATTAAACGAAGTCAGGAGTCTTAAGATGTAGATGGGACTTGTGCAGCATTAAAACTGTTCTGAATCTGAGCTAAAAACACAGAATGTACAGGATTAGATGATGCAGAGCAGGTGTGACGATCAGGTCCAGGTGTGAGGAGGAGCAGATGAAGAAGCAAAACAACACAGAAGGTAAAAGTACGAGTCAAACGGCATTTTATTTCTTTTTATTTTACGTTTGATTTTCCCAGCACACCTTCTGCTGCCTTACATGCCAAAGTTTCTAAGATCTTGTGCAATTAGCCCTCAGAGTATGAGTTAGGGATGATCAGCTACCTCCACACCAGAATTTGCCTCTGTGTGAAATCTACTCGGTTGATGTCGTTTTTGTGTTTGCGTAGCTGTGGTTATCTCAGGTTGACTCAGAAAGTATTGGTTATAACAGCTTTCAGAGTTTTAATAGGTCCTCTAGTTCATGAGATGTTTTGCTAACAGACAAATGAACACACACACTAGCAGCGGGAGATAAAGGCCTAGTTCCAGACAAGAGACCTCATCTGTTCTATTTCTCCCAGGCAGCTGAAAAAATCTACGTGTTCACTTATAAAAAAGGAAAATTTTTGATGTGATGACCCAAAATGTCCTGAAGATTTTTCAAATTTAAAAATTATGTTTTCACTTTCAGAGTGCCATTAAATAGCTAAACTCTTATGGGGCAGATGGTTGTTCTTCAGTTTACCTATGAAGTTCTTATCCCACTAAAAACAGAACTTTTTCCAGCTTTTTGGTCCTGAAATGACATGCAGGGTTACAACGCTACTGTTTGCTTAGGGCCACGATCCTTAACTGGAAAAGGGTGGATTGCTCTCTTCAGGTCGAGGTGAGGTTCTGCCTTGAGTGGAGGAGTTCAAGTATCTTGGGGTTTTGTTCACAAGTGAGAAAAGAATGGAAGAATGGAGCGTGAGATTGACAGACGGGTTGGTGCCTGCAATATTGCAGACCGTACCGGTCCGTTGTGGTGAAGAGAGCGCTGAGCTGTAAAGCTCTCTGTTTACCAGTCAGTCTACATTCCTACCCACCTGACACGAGGTCTGGGTAGTGACCAAAAGTATGAGATTGTGGATACAGGCAGATGAAATGAGTTTCCTCTGCAGAGTAGCTGGACACTCCCGTAGAGATCGGGTGAGAAGTTCAGTTATCCAGGAGAGACTCTGAGTAGAAGCGCTGCTCCTCCACATCGAGAGGAGCCAGTTGAGGTGTTCAGGCATCTGGTAAGGATGCTCACTGGGCGCCTCCCTAGGGAGGTGCTTTGGGCATGTCCGACTGAGAGGAGACCCCGGGGGAAGACCCAGGACATGTGTCCTGGGATTGGGAACACCTTGGAATCCTCCCATATGAGCTGGAAGAGGTGGCTGTGGAAAGAGATGTCTGGGCCTCCCTGTTCAAGCTGCTGCCCTGAGACCCGACTTCGTAACAAGCAGAAGATGATGGATGGATGGATGGATGGATGGATGGATGGACTTTCAGTCCAATCCTTGTAGTTTTCTTTGAGAAAATAAATAAAGAAGCAAATATGAAAACTCAAATCCTGCAACGGTCTGTTTTCTTGCTCTCGTTTGTTTATTTCATTGATTCTTCCTGTCAGATAGAGCATGACGCAGGCAGCAGTTGCATCATCTCCGTGGTGTCCACCTCCATCAGCATCCAGGACCCACGTGAGTCCCAGAACCGACGTGCGTTCTGTTTCGATTATGCTTATTGGTCCCACAGCGGCTTCACAAGAGACCACAAGGGTCTCTACGTCCCTGAAGAGCCGGGGGGAAGATACGCTGACCAGGTCAGCTCAAAGACAACTTTTTTAAACATTAACACTGTAAAATATACTTCATAGTGTTAAAGATGTATAAAGATATAATGGTTTGCACATTAATAAAACATGAATCAAGGTGTGTAAGTTTGTATCTAAATGTAACAAGATATGATTTCCTCTTCAGAACAGTGTGTTCCAGGACCTGGGAGAAGGAATACTGGAGAATGCACTGCAGGTTGGAACCAGTGTGACTTTATTTATTTATTTATTTTTAAAGTCTAAATCACAATATGTCACCATATCCAAACCGACTGAATGATGAAGGGCCTGAAATGACATGTGCAGGGTTACAACGCTACACTGTTGGCTTACGGACAGACTGGCTCAGGGAAGAGTTACTCCATGATGGGCTACGGGCCGAACAAAGGCCTGGTTCCTAAACTCTGTGAGCGACTGTTTCAGACAATCAGAGAAAACCAAGAAAACAGGCAGTGTCAGGTAAAACAGTAAGGGGACATAACTGCACTCTTATTTTCATAGGTATTACACTGAGGATAAGCTTTTAAAATACATTCTTGATACATCCACAGGTCTTTTTCAGTATGTTGGAAATCTACAACGAACAGGTAACAAACGCTTCATGTAAATCTTGCAGCCTTTTTTGTTGTTGTTTTGTTGTTATTCAGCATATTCAGAAAATTAAGTAAATTTCTGATTATTTTACTACATGTAGAACTGTGTTTTCTTTTTCGTCTGCTCCTTGTCCAGGTTGTTGACCTGCTGTTTCGGGGGTCTCGCACTCCAGGTGGACTCAGAGTCAGAGAGGAGCAGCAAAGAGGCTTCTATGTGGAGGGTCTTCGTACAATCCCCTGTGAGAGTGCACCACAGGTGCCGTTAAATTGAAATAATGTAAAGTTAAATATTATTGATGAATGAGATTTTTATTTAATTTTTTAAATTACAAAATGTACCTCAAAAGAGAACTGCTCCACCTTATCCTTGACTATGTCCCCGCTCAGACATGAGCCCAACTCTGGTGGTGTCATCAGTAACGCAATCATATTTGATGAAATGAGTACTGGTGTAAAGGGTGAAAAGTAGGGGGCTTAGTACACAGAGTAAAGGGCAGGGTCAATGCAGCTAGCTATCAGGAGATTTTGGAGCACTTCATGCTTCCATCTGCTGAAAAGCTTTATGGAGATGAAGATTTCATTTTTCAGCACGACCTGGCACCTGCTCACAGTGCCAAAACCACTGGTAAATGGTTTACTGACCATGGTATTACTGTGCTCAATTGGCCTGCCAACTCTCCTGACCTTAACCCCATAGAGAACCTGTGGGATATTGTGAAGAGAAAGTTGAGAGACGCAAGATCCAACACTCTGGATGAGCTTAAGGCTGCTATCGAAGCATCCTGGGACTCCATAACACCTCAGCAGTGCCACAGGCTGATTGCCTCCATGCCACGCCGCATTGAAGCAGTCATTCATGCAAAAGGATTCCCGACCAAGTATTGAGTGCATAACTGAACATGATTATTTGAAGGATGGTGTTTTTTGTATTAAAAACACTTGTCTTTCATTGGTGGGATGAAATATGCTAATTTTTTGGGAGAGGCATTTTGGGTTTTCATGAGCTGTATGCCATAATCATCAGTATTAAAACAATAAAAGACCTGAAATATTTCAATTGGTGTGCAATGAATCTGAAATATATGAAAGTTTCATTTTTATCATTACATTATGGAAAATAATTACCTTTATCAAAATATGCTAATTTTTTTAGAAGGACCTGTATTCAAGATCTTGTTGTTCCATATTTTCTTAACAGAGCACTTCGCTCTGGTTATCTTGTGATCCCTAGAGTTTTCAAAAGCAGAATGGGAAAAGATCTTTCAGTTATCAGGCTCCGCTCTTGTGGAACCAACTTCCAGTTTCTGTCTGTGAGGCTGACACATTGTCCAGTTTTAAGACTGGGCTTAAGACTTTCCTTTTTGATAAATCCTTTCATCAGAGTCAGCTTGTCATGCTGTCTTAAACTTAGACTACTGGAGGACAAATTGACCTCATTTCCTTAAATGATTTGTTAAAATTGAATAGTTTTCATTTGATACAATTTTTATCTTAACATGTGACTAACAACAAAGTCCATGCTCAATAATCCAGGATAACATGTGACTG